AAAAGAAGGACTAGGGGAGACATGATAGCAGTGTTCCAATATCTCAGGGGCTGCCACAAAGAAGAGGATGTCAAACTATTCTCCAAAGCACTTGAGGGCAGGACAAGAAGCTATGGGTGGAAACTAATCAAGGAAAGAAGCAATTTAGAATTAAGGAATAATTTTCTGACAGTTAGAACAATTAATAATTTTTCCCCCTTGGTGTGTTACACAATAAAACAAATCTTTACTGTTACTTGCTGCATGATAGGTAAGAGAAAGAAGAGTGCCAGAGGATGTTGGGGAAATAAGGTGTCAGGAAGAGAAGAAAATCATGACTCTGAGCCTTTAGTTATTTTTTGCCTTTAAGCCTCATCTCTTGTGGCTTTGATGTGGTGATCATAGTTATTCCTGCAGGAATATTGTTCCAGTGGAAAAAAGGGGCTACTCGTGAAATACAGCTCCATGTCTACAAAAAAAATTTAAGCATTGTAAAGGGATAAAAAAAAACCAAGTCACTTTGAATATGTAATTCTGAGACCAAAGGCATTCTAAATTTGGATCTTGATCTCCACTGAAGGGTTTGGAGTGCAATTACTATAATTTCAAGAATTTGAATAATAAATGTTGTTAGATAGTTATTATGCTGAATGAGCTCATCGCTATTTCTGAGTGCCAATCTATCCATCAGTTTCAGGGATGAACTAAGTACTGACCACAGGGCGCCTTGGAAGACAATTCTAGGCAGGAAAGAAGGCAGAGACAACTATGGCTTCTTCCTATCAGGTGCTGTTTTAATTCCTCGTTTGCAACTTTCAAGCTACTGTACCAGTGGTGGGTTGCCCCCTGTTCAGACTGGTTCACAAGAACCCGTAGTAGATGCCCCAGATGTTGTCATCAGCTATCTGCACATGTGCAGAAGCAAGGTGCGTGAGCGAGCAAAGCGAGCACACACGTGCAATCCCGTTGCAAATCGGTAGTAAAGGTAAGTAGAACCCACCCGTGTACATAACCAAAGAGAGATTGGGCTGGAAGCAAAAAACGATCTGGTTTCTATAAATCCATCTTTCAAGAACCATTAAAGTTGGTTTCTTTTGTCTTCTCCAGAACCACCCCTCCCCAAGTTATAGGTTATCTTACAGTAAGATATAATTGTTATATTGCAATATTATAAATTTATATTATATCATTTTCTTACAACATGGTAATAACAAATTAGGAGGTTTTTTTTTCTTTAAAACATCTAAATAAATAATATATTTAACTCTAGAAATATCTTTTGTTGCATATTGCTACCAAAGTGGTATCGTAAATATCTTGCTCATTAGAAGCAAACAGATTTTGTTATGCTTTTTCAATTCTTTAATTTACATTGGCAGGCAAGGATGCCAGACTTCAGAAACTTATCAGAGTCATATGATTTGTTCATTCTTTTTATTTCTTTTTAGACAAATATTCCAAGAATAATATCTTTAATTAGATACAGTTCATGTAGCACGAACCTCCTCCCACAGGACAAGATCTTCTCAGAGGTGGTTGCTATGAAATCCTGCATAGATACCACAATCTTGTCTTTGCATAGGTATTTCTTCAGAAATGTTTTAATTCAATAAAAGTACCGTAGTACAATGTTTTTGAAAACATCTCTATGCCTCATCAATCATCAATAAGTGTCATCATCTGCATGAATTTTTGCTCCAAACCAATGGGAATTGCTTCCATGGTGAAGATCTGAGAGCAATTAAATCCTCTCAATGCTACATGCAGGTGAGAAGCTCATGATCTTTTTGTTACCAAGAAACTGCTGAAGGAAGCAAACATCTCTCTAATTTTAAGCAGTTGTTCTGCTGCTGTATCTTAATTCTACACTTGGTACTTAAATTTGTAAAATAACAATACAAATACTATGTACGCAACACTTGACTATATGCAAAATTATTATTAAAATTTGCATATATTATATTAAAGGTTATTACTATATTATAGTAATATATAATATATAATATATAATATTATATTATGTGTGTGTGTATGTTATGTATATATATGTATACGTATATTATATACTACGGTATAATAGATAGTAAATTACTATACCAAAGGCTCTGAAGTTAAAATGTATCACAAATCAAATAATGCACAGATTTTTCACATTTAATTTTATTGAATTAATGTATTTATTTATTTACATATTCTCATTTATTTTTCACATTTCTGAACCACCAATCCCCCTCAGAAAGATCTGAGATATTTTTAATGTACCTTGACTATTTTGATGTTATAATGACCAAATTATATTTATATCCATGCAGGTTGCTATGCTTGCCCTTGTCCACATACAGTATATCTATGTATTCTTACTTGATGCCTTCTTTGGAGTCACTGGACTATAATTCCCATGATACTCAGAAAGTATAACCATGCAAGTTCTATCTCCAAATATAAGACATATTTGGAGAGCATTAGTTGATAATCTATATCAGTGGTGGGTTGCCCCTGGGTCGCACCGGTTCTATAGAACCGGTAGTAAAACTGGTGGGAGGCTCCGCCCATCGACCCCGACATCATCAGAATGCTTCTGCGCATGTGTGCGGCCCCATTGCGAACCAATAGTAAAGGTAAGTAGAACCCACCTCTGATCTATATCTAATTTACATATAATCAGTAAATAAAACTACAACCTGGAGCCAAACTCTATTTGATTAGGAGAAGGTTCAGTTCAAGTCTTTGACCTGAACTCAACATTAAAAAAAACTAAGATCATGGCATCTGGTCCCATCACTTTCTAGCAAATGCTATGATTCATGGGGTCATGAAGAGGTGGACATGACTTAGCGATTGAACAACAACAAACAAATCTTCTTAGCTCCTTACAAACCAACTCCTCAGCTTGTAGCTCTTTAAGTGTCAGGGCACATAAAGCTCTATTACACCATCAGATGGAACTCTTGTCTACAGAATGCCAAATACAGCAACCTCTGCATTTAGTGGCCTGGGGGGGGCGAGGAAGTGTCAAAAAAGTGAAGATGGTGGTAGCATTTTATTTAAAGTAGTTTTCTTGATGATTGATACCTCTTTATCTACAGTGAGAACTTCTAACATTATTTATTTATTTATTTAATTTTTATACCGCCCTTCTCCCGAATCCTTCTGGGATTCGAACCTGGGCTTGCTGGCAGATGTATTAACCTCTAAGCCATTTACTAAACCTCTAGTAAATAGATCTATACTAGTCTCCCTTTATTTCTTTGTCAGTAAATATAAATTTAACACATAATAGTTTGTCATGAAAGCGACTGCCTGAGGGTTCCTTGTTTGGGGCTGAAAGGCGAAAGGAAGCAGTATGCTCCTTCCCATATTTGGTTAGACCAGGTTGCTTCGATAGAAAACCCCATTTAATCTCTCCTGGTACAAGCTGACAAAGTGAGGAGGACTTGTGGCTTAGAGGTTAATACATCTGCCTAATTATGCCAGCAAGCCCAGGTTCAAATCCCAGAAGGGTATGGCTAGCTGATGATGAGAGCTAAATAGCTTGAAGTAGATCTATACTAGTCTGCCTTTATTTCTTTGTATACAGTATACAGTAATTTATTTATAAAAGAATAAATGTAAATTTTTAAAATAAAAAAAATAAATGTATATTTATACACACACACACACACAGAGTATATATATAGGGACGCAGTGGCTCAGTGGCTAAGACACTGAGCTTGTTGATCGAAAGGTCAGCAGTTCAGTGGTTCGAATCCCTAGTGCCGCGTAACAGAGTGAGCTCCCGTTACTTGTCCCAATCTTCTGCCAATCTAGCAGTTCCAAAGCACGTAAAAAATGCAAGAAGAAAAATAGGGACCACCTTTGTTGGGAAGGTTACAGCGTTCTGTGTGCCTTTGGCATTTAGTCATGCCGGCCACATGACCACAGAGACGTCTTCGGACAGCACTGGCTCTTCGGAGATGAGCACCACGACTAGCACATATGTGCGAGGGGAACCTTTACATTTATCTTTACAGTATAGATCTCAAGCAAATCCTTCAGCAATACACCTATTTTAAATGTTTAAGAAGAAGAGCCAAATTAAGTACAGGATTACAAATATCCACACTGATGCCCTCTAGCTGAATTATATTATTTATTGTACTTTTAAATATTCCAGCAAACTTTCAAAAAGTTTTGGTACAACTATACAGCATTTCTAGTATCTGATAGGCTCCAGTTTGAGTATCAGTCAACTGCTCCATCTAAAGCAGTAATTTGATGCTGATATACTGTAATAAACTTCCTTTTCTCCCTTTTTCCTCTTGGATTTTTTACTATCTTGCCTGACTGAAGATTTCTTAGAAATCTGAATCTAGCATTCAAAAATACTACTGTCATCATAAAGATGTTTCCTTAATACTATATTTGGTTTTTCCTTTGTTAGTATGGTAGCTTGTCTGTAATTTGGGAAATATCAAATTTAGCTATTGAACAGAGATCCTATACAGGACAAGAAACAATGTTTATCACCTATATTGAGTTTGTAATCTCTGAGCACATAGCTCCTGATAACCAGTTTATACTGATTCTTTTTATTTACTACAATTTCCTAAATATACTCAGCTTTTTATAAATATTGCCTTGCTGACCTGGGATGAGAGCTTACTAGGAACTCCTAGGTCTATAGGAGTTTAAAACACACACACACACACACACACACACACACACACACACACACACACGAAGGCTACTTCAGTACTGCTGTCAAGAAGACTTTACAATCAAGTTCATGAAATTGCCAAGCTGGACTCAAAGAAGGCTTTACCTTAACACTGATTCTGAATCTGTCCCTGATAAGATTCAATTTGCATTTATGTAGATTATGCCCACATTCCACCTCATTCTGTGAACTGATGCAAGCATGATATAAATGCCAGTCTCAGTATCGATGTGGGTTTTATTTTGGTTTATCTCCTGGGCAGGACAGCTGCTTTTGCTTTTAACTATTTCACATATTTTTCACAAGAAATGGTTCAAGCCTCCAATATTATTATGTTTCTTCTTTTATTAAGATAAAATTTGTCATCCTGACAATTTGGATCAACAATTTACATTTGCTTTGCCCTCACTGAGCACTAGATGGCACTCGGTTTTCATATTTCCAATGTCCAGTGGTTCATGGGAATAACTGCAACACTAACCTGACTATTATTAGTTCCTGCTTTGCTTGTGTATTAAAGAACTGAATCCCAGCCTTTCAGCCGGACAATTATGTTCCATATGATATCCCAAGGAAAATGATCGGTCCGTATTCCAAAGAAAAGCAATTGATACCAGACATACTCTGATATATGACTTTTGACTGGATGCATTCCTGATGATTCTGTGATATGAAATAATGGCTTGAGGGAACAAATCATTGATCTTCATTTCATTTGCCAGTTCTACCCATATCTCTGTATGGTTGTGGATACCTATAACTGAGAAGAACAGAAAAAGACCAATCAGTTACTTTATTCAACTTGGATAACTAGAGACCCACTTTACTGCAACAGTTGAATGTGTTACTCTTTAACAAGTATTAATATTGGACATTAATACATTCTGTCTTAAGGAGATCCTGCAGTGTACTCTTGGTTTCAATATTTCAAAGCAAAAGACATTTATTTACAGATAACTTTGATATATATGTGTTTATGTGTGTTTATGTATGTGTATATGTATGTATGTATGTATGTATGTATGTATGTATGTATGTATGTATAGTCTATATAAGCAGAGCAGTTTATATCAATTCACGGGCATCCATTAAGATGAAGGGGATAAGAAGAATGAGCGACACAGCATGCAGCATGGCACAAATCAACTTCAATCTGTACTTGCATCAGGATGCAAGTACATGGAGTTGGGATTTTTTTTTTTTTATTTGATTTATATGCCGCCCTTCTCCGAAGACTCAGGGCGGCTTACAATGTGTTAAGCAATAGCCTTCATCCTTTTGTATATTTATACAAAGTCAGCTTATTGCCCCCACAAACTGGGTCCTCATTTCACCTACCTTAGAAAGGATGGAAGGCTGAGTCAACCTTGAGCCTTGGAGAGATTCGAACCCTGCAGTAATTGCAGGCAGCTGGTCTTAATAAGCTTAAATCATTTGCCTTATGATTTATTGTGGGCACGTTGTCATATCTCAATCATTATGGCCTGCAATGGATGCCATTGTATCAAACTGCTAAACTGTAATAATTACACCAAAAATCAATGTAAACAATAAGAAAGGTGAGTCTGCTCTGGATCCTTTCTATTAAACAGAGCCATCTGGTAGGACACGAGAAAGGGATCTTCTCTGTGGCAGCTCTTGGCTAATTGGTTTTCCCTCCTGTCTCCTAAGACCAGTGGTGGGTTCCTCCCGGTTCGGTCCGGTTTGGCCCAGCCGGTAGCGGTGATGATATGACGTCACCGAACCGGTTCTCCCCCCCCCCACCCACCCACGTTATTCTTACCTTTTATTTGGTCCCACCCCCAATCTATTGCTGACTCCTGAGTCCCAGCTGATGACTAGAGGGAAAAAAAACTGTTTAAACTCTTGCCGCAGGGCTTCAAAGGGCCGTCCTACAGCTGATCAGTGTTAAAAGCAAACAAATGAGTTGGGTCGTAAGTGCGAGGACTGGTCGTAAGTGCGAGGACCTTCCAGAAATGACTCTGACCAGCTAGCCATGCCCACCTAGTCACATGACCTCCAAGCCACACCCACAAAATAAGCCACGCCCACAGAGCCGGTAGTAAAAAAATTTAGAACCCACCCCTGCCTAAGACCTTTTCCACATACCATTACAAGAATATGATTGTTATATGCTACAATTCCTAGCGAAGTCATCATAGTCATCATTTTAGCCATTGCCTATCCACTGCAAGTTGAAGGCCTCTTCCACATGTTTCCAACCAATACGATCCTGAGCTTTCTTTTGCCAACTGGGTCCATACTTGCTGATGTTGTCAATCCATCTTGTTTTAGGTCTCTTTCATGGATGCTTTTTATCAAGTGGGATCCATTCTAGGACTGCCTTGGTCCACCTGCCATCAGTTCTTTTTCTATGTGACCAGTCCTTTTCCATTTCAATTCTTTTACCCTCTTGATGATATTGTATACTTTTGATTGTTCTCTTATCCACATGTGGGTCTTTCTATCTTGTCTTGTAATGCCGAGCATGTATCTTTCCATGGTTCTTTGTGCCATGCAAGTTATGAATAGAAAAATGTTAAAGCAGCAGAGTCTGTAGAATCACAGCATGCAAGTTCTGTCTCTGCAAGTGGATGTATGATATCACAATGCAAGTACAAAAAGAGCAGCACACATGTTGCAAAAGTGCCTTCATCAGTCCAGCTCCCTCCTTGCCTTTCCCTGGGGACTGCTCTATTAAGCTTTTACAAGCCAGCAAGCCATTAAGCAAACCATCAAAATATAATCAAGAAATAATCAAACTGATCACAAAGCAAATCAATTGCCAATTATTGCTTTCCCCTACTCAGCCCCCACCCTCCCTATGTGTCCTTAGGTTTTAATGTTTGATTTTAATTATTTATGTTTTTCTGTATATGTATAAACATATTTTTATGGCTGTAACCCTCCGAGAGTTACCCTAGGGCAGGGGTCGGCAACCTTAAACACTCAAAGAGCCACAAAGGTCCTAACCGGAAGCCCCCCATTCAATTCTGGAGCCAACCGAAAGTCCAGTTCCCCTGCCATAGAGACTCCTCCTAGCACAGCGTCCTTTTTCCTTTACCTATCTTAACTGAAAGCCCTATCAATTGTGGAGCCAACCAGCGACAGGGAGCCGCAGCAGAGGAATGAAAGAGCCACATGCAGCTCCAGAGCTGCAGGTTGCTGACCCCTACCCTAGGGTAAGATAGGCAGCTAATAAATTTTATAAATAATAAATAATGAATTCATCACCTTTTTTCAAAGTGAATAATGTACCCCTATGTCCAGTAAAATACACATGGTCATATGTGGCAACAACAGTAGCAAAGAAATAAGGGAAACACATGAAAATTTGCTGAACAAATAGATTAATAAATATGTCAGCTGTAGGAGCATCAATGAAGATTCTAGTATTTATACCAGTGGTCAAATCTGAACTGGTTTACTACCGGTTCACTGCCCGCGCATGCGTGCCATGCGCCAAATGTGTGCTGTGTGCACGCATGCACAGTGCACAACAAATGTGAGCTGCACGCATGTATGCACAGTGCGCGCCAAAAGGAGGCTTGGGAAGGTAAGTAGAACAGCGTGAAGGGCTGAACAGCTTACGTGGCGCACGTGGGAACCTTTTTTAAAGACTTTTTAAAAGCATTTTTTTACTATCGGCTCGGGGGAATAGGTAGTAAAATGGTTTTAAAAAGTAAAAAAAAAAAGGTTCCGACGATCGCACGGCATAGCTATGATCGTCAGAGCCTTTTTTTAACTTTTTAAAGCATTTTTTTACTACTTATTCGCCCGAGCCTGTAGTAAAAGAATGCTTTTAAAAAGTAAAAAAAGGCTCCGACGATCACAGCTATGCCACGCGATCATTGGAGCCTTTTTTTTAACGTTTTAAAAGCATTTTTTTATTACTGTCTCAGGTGAATAGGCAGTAAAAGAATGCTTTAAAAAAGTAAAAAAAAAAGGCTCTGGCGATTGCCACGGCACAGCTGTGATCGTTGGAGCCTTTTTTTTTACTTTTTAAAAGCATTTTTACTACCTATTTACCCGAACCGGTAGTAAAAAAATGCCTAAAATGTAAAAAAAAAAAAAGTTCTAACGATCAGCTGAGCGATGCGCGATCGTCGGAACTTTTTTTAAAAAACTTTTTAAAGCATTTTTAACTACTGGTTCCAGAGAACCAGTAGTACAAAAATGCTAAAAAGTAAAAAAAAAAAAGTTCCGACGATCGCGCATCGCTCAGCTGATCGTCGGAACTTTTTTTTTTTACATTTTTTTACTACAGGTTCGGCGAAGCAGTAGCATTTTTTACTACCAGTTCGGGCGAACTGGCCCAAACCGGTAGCATTTCGCCCCTGATTTATACCAAGATTAATGGTCAAATATAGTGCACTTACACAATACAGAACAGTGTTGTCAATATGTCTGGAATTCCAGTTTATGTGACTTAGAACATTCTATAATGAAGACATACATGCTTGACTCATACCCCACACAAAACTGTCGTGAATGCATGCACAGACATGAGCACTAGGCCTATTTTCTTTCAATGCAAATCATAAATGCCTGGCTCTTAACTGAGATCAAGACTGTGATGAAAGGGATGATTACCTAACTGGGCTTCCTCATTTATATATTATCTAATAGCATCTGCATCACACACTTAAATTCATGATGCTTTGAATGAATTAAATATTTTCATGTATTTTTGAATGGACATTCCTCTTTCTTTATGGCTATTATACTAATCACACTTATTTGCTTATGCACTCAATATTCAGCGAGAAGTGAATTTTAAAAAATTAAGAAAATAACACCATGTTTATCCAATGCCTTGATGGCGCAGCAGGCTAAAGTGCTGTTAAGTAGCACCAGCTGCCTGCAATTACTACAAGTTCAAATTTCACCAGGCTCAAGGTTGACTCAGCCTTCCATCCTTTCCAGGTAGGTAAAATGAGGACCCAGATTGTGGGGGCAATAAACTGACTTTGTATAAAAAAGAACACTGCTTTAGGGGGGGCCAAAAGCCCTACTAAGCAGGCATATACAAAAGTATGAAGGCTATTGCTTAACACATTGTAAGCCGCCCTGAGTCTCCGGAGAAGGAGGCATATAAATCGAACCAATAAATAAATAAATGTAATATTTCTTAACCTTCCCCAAAGTCCATACATCTTAAAAGTTGCCAATGTTGAGAAACATGTCCGATCTAATGCCTGAAACTCAGAAGAGGGAGGTCTCCATTGGAGACAGCTGTGTAAAGTGACCACCTCACTTAGAAAAGGCAGCAATTAAATAATTTCTTCAGCTTTGCATAAATGGTTGATCTCCAACTATGTTGGGATTGCAGCTGCCAGAATTCCCCGGCTAATTTTAATTGTTTACTACTGATTGATTTACTGAATTACAGTAAATCACTGCAATTTTGCTTATATTCAAACATTACGAGCTTTTTAACAAAATGAAAAGTGAGTCATATTTTAAATTGATAGCAACAGCATTCAACCACTGTCCTAATAGAAAGCACCAGCACTCTGTTGTCTATCCATATATCTTCCACAGACAAGGACAGATTTTTTTTTTAAAGGATTCATTAATTAGGGAAGTCAAACTGGCGGCCCATAGGCTGGATGCATCATGTGCAGGCCACGCCCACCCCAGCTCCGTGAAGTGGAAGAAACGTCACAAAATGTCACGTGATGACAATGTGACCCCACGAGTTTGACACCGGTGCATTAGACGAACACTCGATGGATATTAATTTAACTCAGGTACTTTGGCAATTGGTCAAGCAATTTAAAACTAATGAGTTATGCAACGAATATTGTAAGCCAGTAATTTAGCTGACGTACTTCATATAAAATCCAAAGTAAGAGAAAGATGGAAAGTATGTCTTCATTCAGAGTGGATGTAAATACTCTCCCATGCATCTACTGAGCATATAAATATCACTGTGGAAACACCCAGTTAGAAGGTGTAAAAGTTGGTTTACAACTTTTGGTTTACAACTTTTCTCATCCAATCCAGCATGCTGACAACTGTAGTGAAGGACATTAGAAAAATTAGAAGATTAGAGGAAGTTGGAAGAATAACTAGAACTTGCATTACTTTCTTGTAAACAAAGATACTTCCTAATGTCCCTTGTGGAGTTTTTTCTGATACGGTTGTGTTCTTTTCTGCAGAACATTTCAGGGGCGGAAACCAGGGGTGGGTTCTACTTACCTTTACTACCGGTTCGCACGTGCACGCTCACTTGCACGCACGCCTTGCTTCTGTACATGCGCAGATCACTGATGACAACATCCAGGGCAGTGGGCAGGGCCTCCAGCCGATTTTACTACCGGTTCTTGTGAACTGGTCTGAACTGGGGGCAACCCACCACTGGCGGAAACCAAAGAAAAGAGCAGGTAAAAGGTCCTCCATGATTTTCTAATCTTCAGGAAAGGAATAAAAGCATGTTTTTTTTCCAACCCAAATATTTATTCACAGAGCTTACTGCTCACAACCATCATTTAGCTTTTGATGTATTGTGACCATTTTTTTTTATCAGATAGGTCATGATTAGTACAAGCTCGAGTAGGGTGAAATTTGATTTTGTACAATTCATAAATTGATAGCAGATCACATTTAATGTAAGCCAGAATTGAGTTAGTATGAGTCCAGCACACATGTGCTGGGGCTGGCACATGTGTTAGCAGCGTCTGTGGGGTTTTAGACACTAATCATTATTTGCACAAAATGGAGTAAAGGAAGGTTCCATTTTGAAGAATTACAGCAGAATACAGGAGATAGCAAGTATGTTTTGGAAATGGGTTATCGCCTTTTAGCATTTTACACTATTTTATTAATAAACATATAAAGTTCTAGGTTTAAATTTTTTTTCCCTATTGATTAGCTGGAACCAATCACCCTATTTTGTATAGAAATATCATTTTGGATAACTAGATAGCTAGCTTGCTAGTTAGATAGCTAGACAGACAAACAGATGCTTACTTGTAGTCTTGACTATATATTGCTTCAAAGTCCAAAGGATGGAAAAATGGGATAAATCCTGCTCCAAATCCATCCATCCACAGAGCCACACAGAGGCATTGTTAATCCATGTAAAACGTGCACGCTTCTAATAGAATATGGCACTCTACTTAACCCCACTAGGTGTCTCTGTAGGAGCCATTAGAATTGTTCGCGACATGCAGAATTACCTAGGCTGAAGTGTCTGCAGGCACTGGAATCACCCCTTCTAAGCATGTCTTTGAACTCTGCTCCAACAGCAATGCTGTGCTGCTTTCTCAGTGCTTAAACTAGCCCTTAAGCTAAACAAAATAGAAACACAAAATACATCTTTTAAATATAACCTTATAAAATCATTATGAATTAAAATTATTTTTAAAAGCTACTCTCTCTCTCTCTCACTTCCAATGGATGGGTGGGTTCCTTCCTATGGGTTGCCTTTCAGACTCTCATCTTCAGGAGAAGTTGGCTGTATTAAGCAAAATGATTTAGATTTTTACATATCTACTTCCTCCATTGCCAGTTTTTAAATAACTCACAATCTCCTTTCAAATCTGCTCCATCTCATTTAATTTTATCAAAAATCTACCTGAAAGTCAAATGATTTGTGTTTATATAAAAGATTCTATAGGAAGTTGCTTGCACA